AAAGGAAAGTGGGGGGGTGGGGGGGGTGTGGGGAAAGTAAAAGTGGGGCGGGGGGGGTTTTGGGGAAAGGGGTTTTAAAGGGGGGGTGTGGAAGGGGGGGGGAAAAGTGGGGTGTAAAAAAAGGGGGGAAAGTGGGGCTGTTGGGGGTAAAAGGCGGGGAAAGTGTCGTTTTGGGGGGGGGGAAAAGGGGGGGGGGGCTTGGGGGCCTTGTGGGTTAAACGTCTTTTTTCTTCTGTTCTTACCACACCCCCAACATTGGCTCCCATCCCGGGGTTTTACTGTTAGTTTGACAAATAATTTTACTTTTTTCAGTCAAAAAAACCAACTATTTTCCTTTTTGATAAAGAAAATATGATGAGGGGTACTGTGCTTCAGCGTTCATGCGTTGTTATGGACCCCCCCTGATACAGGCGTGCTTCCCACCCCCGTTCCCGGACGTACGCTTGTCAGCGAAGGGCCTGGCCGGGTTTTGTTGCTGTTTCAAATCAAATCACTTTTTATTTTCACAGCCCCAAATAAACGGTGTAGGCCTTAAGGAAATGCTTTTTAAAAGCCCTTAACCAACAATCGTTTAAAGAAAAATAAGGTTAGAAAAAAAATAGTTTAATAAAAAAAAACCAAAAATCAGTAGGGGCAAATTTACGGGGGGGTAACGGTCGGTAATGGGGGGGCACAGGAGTCAAGGAATTGGGGTAATAGTACTGTACACATAAAAATGGGGTTTTAATTTAGGTAAAGTTATTTAACCCAGATGATATTTTCACATTTTTTGAGAAAAATTTTCTCTATCAGGGGGTTTAAAAGTGAGTGAAAAAAATTGCAGATACGCAGTGAAAATTTCAACCTAAGAGTGTAATACCCGCACTCGCTTTGTAAGTTTTGGGAGTTTGGTGGAGGAAGATTGCAAGGGGAGTAGGCCACGATATTGCTAGGAAGTTCATCCCGTTTTTCAAACCCCAAACCGGATTTTTTTAAATTTTCATAATTTTTGAGTTTTTGTTGTCAAGGTCATATTTTTGTTTTGGTTCCCTTTCGGCGGTCCCCCTTTTCAGTGACCCGTCATCACCCCTAAATTAGCTTGTAAATTCAGTGGTTGAAAATAAAATGTTATATGTATACCCTGGAATATGTTTTTATTTTTTGTGAATGGGTTGTGTTTCATAGGAAAAAAAGGGGGGTAACGTTAACTTTGCTAATCATTCGTTTTTAAGGACACCACCGTTTTTATGAGCCAATTGTGTTGTCATGCGGTTGTAGCTTTCAAACAGTATCGGTAATGTTTCTTTGGGTTTCAAAATTTCCAAAAGAAATTTTTCAGAATGGTAAATCGTAAAATAAGTTTGCTAACAACAAACTTTATCAGATGTATTGTTGCTAAAGTTTTTTGATAGCTTTCCCCGGCTTCCTTCACAAATTAACTGTTTTTTTTTAAGTTAAAATACGGAAAGTTTGAGCTTTTGTAGTTGCCAGTAATGTTGGTTTTAAAACGAAACTTAGATCATGATTTGATGAGGGGTTTTTAACATTGCTTAACCATTTTTAAGGTTGCTACTGTTCGAACAAAAGGCTAATGGGAGCTAACTTTTCACATAGCTATTATTTGGTAGCTAAGGACAATGTGCCCCTAAACTTAAAAAAGCCACCCCATTTTCGCAGAAAATGGCAGCTTAAAGTTGTTAAAGCAAACTTGTTATTCAGCCTTTGTAATTTTTGTAACGTTAAGAATCATAGTGCATTGGGGTAGCTAGTATAGAGATAAAGGGATAGTTAGCTAACGCTTTTGAAACCCCCACAAATATGATTTTGAATATATATTCTTTTTTAACAGAGGAAATGTGTTTCGTGTTAGCTCGGGGGAAAAGCAGAAATAGTCAAACGTCTGAGCTACTTAATGCTTCTTGAAAGAAGGGGTTTTTTAATAGGTAAAAACCATTCCCCTTTAATGACAAATAAACACTTAAGCTATTACTATGATATCTATTTAGGGTCTTATCTTTCTTTTCCGGGTTTTTTTATAACAAAAAAGGGGCAGTCCCCCTCATTTTGGGAAAATGGGCAACCAAAATAACAGTTGTTTTTTCTTTTTTCTTCTTTTTCAGTTCCCCAAAAAAAAATACCAAAACAAAAGCCCGCCCCCTTAAAAAGGGGTTTTATGACCGCCCAAAAAATTACTCAGAGTTTTTGGAATGTAAAGGGTCACCGAACCAAACCCCTGGGGAATTTTTTTAATTTTAAAAGCTTTTGATAAAATTTTTTTGGTTTTTTTAAATAAAAACCCAAAAAGAAATTTAAGGGCCCAAAAAAGTAAGTTTCCAACAACTTTTCGGTTTATTAAACTAAAAAAAAGAACTCCCATCTTCTTCCTACTTTAAACTGTTTTTTAAAAAAACCCATATATACTGTTTAGCAGGCTTCTGATAGTTAGCCGGTAATGTTGGTTGATAATGAATCAAAGGAGAGGGTTTGGTTAAAGTTTAACCATTTAATGGTGCATTTTTGGGCAAAAGGAATAGTAGTACTTGAACAAGCTAATGGTGTAATGGAAAAGTGCTTAAACTAAATGGTGACTTTGCAGAAATTTGGGCATTGAAATTTTGCCGGGAAAATGGCTATTGCAGGAATGCTGTACGGGGGAAAGAATGGTTGTAAGAAAGTAGTCCTTGGAAAATGGGTTGAAGCTTAGTTGACCGAAAGTAGTTTGTAAAGTCGTGTTACAAGGAAATGCTGTGCTGGGTTGTGCTGGAAAGAGATAGTTAGTTGAAGAATTAGTGCTGTGAAAGAGGGGTATAAAGGTAAAAGACTGGAACGTATGCTGACAGAGTAGCTTATCAAGAGTGGGCTGTCATAGCTTTTCAAAGGAGGTTGTTGAAACCTCCAGTAGGGACCTTTCTTTCCTCATTTTTCACATAGCAACTTATAAACTACCGTTTAAGTTGAAAATCTTTTTTTTCTTTTTTCAACTTTTCTTTTATCATAAACTGAAGGGCTATGTTGTTATTGATCGTCTCCCGATTGACCCATTTGATTGCAAAGTCCCGAACTTCAGATTGCTGGCAAATGGGACTGGTGTCCATGTCAATTTTTTCTTTATTAAACAATCACATTACTTTTTCATCCCAATAACAACGTGACCTAATATTCTTTCTTAAACCATTCCAAATGCAAATACTCATTTACATTTAAACTATAAACCACATCATTAACTGGGGACATTGAAGACGGTCGAAGAAAAGGGGGGACAGGCAGCCACAGAACAGAGGAAACATGAACTAAAACGGCTGTTAAATCCACTAAGTTTTTTTCACCGACAGCTTAAATTTTTACAATAACGGCCATCTCGACTAAAATGAGTGTAAAAATCCTAACGTCAAGCCTGGTGACATTTACACAGTCGGAACAAATCCCGCCAATGCCTGAAGTTGATCACTACTTGGTGGAGAAGATAGGACACAGGGCCAGCATACTAGTAGTAAAAACCGTTTTACACCCCGGTTTTTAATTACATTTTAATTCATGTCAGTTATTTAATTATATTCCTCGCCCCCCTAAGTGTCACGCACAGAGTAATTTACCCTATATAAGACCATCTCACAACAAACTTATAATGAGTCCTGCAAATTTGAATTTTTTATGTGGATTTCATATGCTTAAATATTACTTAAACTATAGGCATACTCGTCCAAAGGGGCCCCGTTTTACGCGATTGCCCATACGAACAGCCTGCAAAGGGTCCTCTCAATATTCAAAAAAGTTTTCACATGAATTACTATAATGACGTTGAAACAAAAATTTACACTGTATTTTGCTAGTTTGGCACCCGGTCCACCCATTCACCTTGAAAAAGCCATCTATGGAGGAAGCGCATTGCTTTTTAACCGCTTAATCGGTCCTGAAAAAAATACCTTCTATCGGCGCATGTCACTAACCCAAATTTCCATTTTCTCGGTCTCCATTCCTAAGCCAGACGCTACTAATTTTCACATGCTATATCATGCTAAGCCAATGCTAAGGTCAACTACTTCCGCTTGTGGAATGCTAGAACAAGATTTCACTGTTTCCGCCACTTGCATTTTTGAGAGTGGCCAACTCAAAAAAGTATAGGAGCGCCCTGAATCACCAGCTCTATTTAGATACCAAACTATCAGTTCTAATTAAATCTTATTAAAACTTTTCTTTCCCTTCGAATAGGAGCTAAATTCCTAGTCAATGTCGTGAACATTTATGCTCCCAAGGCCAGTATTTTAAAATTCACCCATGAAAATATCCCTTGCGCTCTCATTTGTACCCCATCTGCCAAGAAAACTGCCGGCATTCTCAGACACAAAATCAGCCCAGATCCAGTCTTTCACTTTTAAACATACCACCTATCTTGTCCGTGAAGGGAACTTCATGTCTTGTCCCAAACTTTTTAAGTGTGTTAATTCCCGGAACCAGGTCACCCCTTTGACCATCACCCAAGCTCAGCCCTTTCCCCCAGGACCACCGACGAAATTCACCCCTTTTAAAATGGGGTTGAATCATGCTTTTCCCATGGGAACAGGAGAGGCCCTTTTTTAAATAGTATTTTAAAAAGTTTTTTTAAAATTTTTTTTTTTGGAACACCCTCCCCCCCTTCCCCCCCCTTCTCCCATAAGGCGACCAGCCGAACTCTCGCTTACCACTCTCCACCCCCACCCGGGACCCCGACAACCACAAACTTCCCCCCCTATCTCTCAACCACCACGATGACCTCACCGTCTCCTCGGCTGTAGCGGCCCACCAACGCTACCACACCGCATCCTAGTGAATCCACGTCCCCTACAACAGCTATGGAACTTGCTCTTCCATGCCCCCCTTGGTCCCACTGTTGGAGGAGGTGGCCGTGGGACGGTCAACCAGCTGGGGCCTCACTACCATGCCCGACAACGCAACGCACCTTCAGCCCACCCTCACTTAGATACCCACTACCCATCCCTTCCCCATACTTCCCCCTCCCGTATTCTACCACTCTTTCACTACTCAACCCCCATCTCTTTTTCACCACCTCAAACTTTCCTCCTCCCCTCCCTCCCCTTTCTCTCACATCTTAACCATCCCCCACTCCCCCCTCCGAATCCCCGCGCAAACACCCCCCTCCCCCCACCCCCCCCCCCTATCGCCTTGACCGCCCCCCCCACCCACCTCCCCCCCCCCAACCAACCCCTCCCCCCCCACCCCTCCCCCCCTATCCCCCATCCCCACCCCCCACAATCCCCACCCCCCCCCCTCCCCCCCCCCCCCCGCCCCACCCCACCCCCACCCCCCACCCCCCCCCCCCTCCCCCTCCACTTTCATCCCCCCCCCCCCCGGCCCCACCTCCTTCCTACAGCCTCCCTGACAACTATCCGTTCAACTCCCCCTCACGTCGTAGTCATCCTTAGTCTTCGATAGCGAACAATCCGCTCAACCCACCACCCCCCCGATTCCCCCCCCTCACTACCACCCCCCCTCCCCTGCATTCCCCTACAACCTCCCACAAGGATCGTTGTTCGCTCTTGTGCAGGTAGGCCCAGAAAGCAGGACCACAAAAGGTGCAGACCCACCTATGACCAGTCTGACCACAGAAGCCTGCACCTCCGATGTTTTTTTGTTTTTTGAAGAATAGTAAGGAGTCACTGGAACTTTCAGAATATGCTGGGCAATGGACTTGGTATTAATTCATTCAAGTATGTTTTTAGTTTAATTAAAGGACAGAATGAGAACCTTTATGTCTTTAAAAAAACAAGTAACAGTTTATGGCTAAATATGTTTCTAGTTTTGCACAAATCATAATGAACAGATAACTCTCATCATCATCATGCTAGGGGTACATCGTGAACACCATCATTCGAATTCACTGTGTGTGACGATTGTTGAAAGAAGTGCGGCTGCGAAGGACGCCAGCACTAAACCATGCCACAAAACTATGAGGGCAAAAGCAGTAAGTAAGTGGTGAACATTGCTGTTAAGCCAATCTGCATGTTGTTCATCATTGACAGGATTTACATATTGTTTTACAATACGGGAAAGCAATTTCTTTCCACTATAGCTGATTGAAAAAATCCTAACATCAAAGCCTGGTGGTGAAACGCATTATGCAAGAGTATGGAAAAAACCAAATTCTGACAGGATGCCACCAGGAAGACAGATGATCAACATACTTGCTGCTGAGAGACAGAACACACATGGGTAAAGCTTTTAAGCATATAGAGATGGGCTGTGTAAAGAAAACATTGTTATTATTTTCGGTTATTTATTATTATGTAAAATGTGTTGTGCCCATATTCAATCGTGTGATGTTAACTTTGAATTTTTTCAGCCTCCCATATGCTCGGACATCCCCCCCCAAAAGTGTCAGCGGCACAGGGGCTAGCTTCACACACCCGACTTTGTCCCACCCCGACCCCCCCCTCAGCCAGCCCCACCACAACTCTAGACACGCAAACGCCCCCCCTCAGCTACGTATCACAACCACGAATGTTCACACCGCACTCGCCGTCCGGTATTGCACATTCTGCCACCCCATTCCCTCTATGACATGGGGCTAGTATCCTTAAATTTATTCTATTTATAATTATATAGTGCCAAAAGCTCCATCCCCAACACACACTCATTACTAGATCCGGAGAGTGGGGCCGGTACCTGCTGGCGATTGAAGACCATTACACAGAAAAACAGAAGAGGAGAATCCCACGGCACCCCCCGGTGCGCCCCTACGCCCCCCCCTCCCCGTCAGCAAACCGGCTTAAAGGTATGTTTTATGATCAGTGACCTTTAAGTAAATGGTGGACCTGTGAAGTGTCAGAAAGGATTTCTTTAACCATCTTGCTAACTTTGTCCCGGCCACATACGTTTGCTGGGCCAGGCCGTGTATCAGTCAGCCCTTCACCTATGACAGCGCGCACATCTGATGACGGATGTGGAACAGCTTATGGCTGTTGTTTTGAGGACACTCTGCTGATGAAAAACTGTCCGTCGAGCAAGATGAAAATGACCTTCATATAGGCAAGCAATGGGTCAACGATGAAGCCAAACATCAGATGTCTTCTCGGTCTTCCCAAGATTCGGAACACCAGGACTGGGAGACAACTTAATTCATGCATCACCAAAAATATCCAATGAAGACTAAGGTAACACTCATTATTCTGTCTTGTGTGTACATTGCAGATTAGAAACAAGATTTCAGACTTCTGTTTGGCTGACGGCCACAGCCAACAAATCGTGGAGAGGCCAACCACTTTCAAAGCAAAAAAAGTAATAAGGAAAGCCATGGACTTGTATCCACCACAGAACTCTTGGAATTGATGCGCATGCTGAGTCAGAGGCTGAGTTGAGAATGGTATGAATTGAACTGTTTACTTTTTATGTGGATAATGTAGGTGTGCATTATATGTCCATAATGGTGCTGCTGAAAGTGTGAAATAAGAATGTTATATGCTACGGAACAATGTTAAACGGTTTTTATTTTACTATTTGAGGCTGGACAGTGACATGTTCTTGCCATCTTGCTGATGCTACATTTGCTTACCACCATAATGCCACAAGGTGAAAGAGGCCGGGAAAGATGTCGGAGCATATCAAGCCTGTTCGTGCTCTAGCCAGCTCATAGATTTATAATATTACTCATATATCGTCTTGTATCCTGTTTCGTCACCCCCCCCCCACTCCTCCCCATCAATGCTTAACAGTTCGTGTTACAAATATCTATTCCATCATCTCACTCTTGTGCACAGTGAGGGATTCTTATTATTGTCACGAGGTTATCACCAAAACCAATTTGTTGAATGTTGTTTTTTTTGTTAGGGGAACCAGTGGGCAGCAGCATCTTGACAACATCACCCAAAGGCAGCAAGCCCTTACGTTCTCGCCCAGGGATCCACACAGAGCAGCATTCATCCTACTTCATTGTGGTTGACAAGCATGCTCTGTCCATGCAAAGGGCAACAGGTTCAGTAGGAGTTTTGACGAAGTCAAAAAAAGTCTTTAAAGCCCATTTACGTATTTGGTACGTCTACAGTTCTCCTTGAGCACGATTTTTACTTTTGTGCAAAAAAACATCTTATTCTTATAACACGACATGGGGGGACACAAAGGAGCACTCCTAGAAGTTGCTCGTGCTGAGTGCGAGCAAGAACGGTGCGATTATTGAGATAAAACTATGGAAGGGTTTTCTTTGCAAAAGTGACCATGGACGTCCCAAAACTTGTAAGCACCTTAAGATAAATTCATGGGCTATGTACAGGCAGGACTCTTTTTCTGAAATGTGGTCAAGAAGGATGCTCATGTTCTTTTGGTAGCTTTTCTGGTTTTAGAAAACATCTTAACAAGTGCCACGGAGAAAGTTTAGTAGATTCTATAGAAGATGATCTTTCAGACCCTCAAAGTACCGTCAACACCAGTAATATTTCTCATGTTGAAGTGTCGACTGAATGTTTAGAGGCTGAGTCAGAGTTGTAAATAGTTGTGGCAGCTGTTTATTTCTGATCTAAAGGCAGCAGGTGTTGGTCAAAGTACAGTAAATACTGTAGTTGATTTCCAGGAAGAGATTGTTCAAGATATTCATCAGCATGCTAAAGAAACAGTGATAAAGCATGTATTTAGTAATGAAAGAGAAACAGAAATGTGCAAGAAAGTTGAGGCGTGTTTTGAGGGGTTAGAGAATCCTTCACAGTTCTAAATTCGAATACAAGCGATCAAAAATTTATGACTGCCAAGTGGGAAATAGTAGAACCAGTTGAATGTGTGATTGGTTCAAGATTTGACACAAGACGAAATAAAAAGACTGGAACATATGATCAGGTAGTAGTTCAAGATAAATTCATGTATATTCCAATTTTATCTACACTGCAGTCAATATTTAAAAGTCAGTATTTTGCAGAAATGTTGCAAAGCTCAGCTACCAGCAACTCTAGACTGAGAGATATTTGTGATGGATCTTTTTTTTAAAGTCACCCCCTGTTCTCAACTGAGAAGCAGACAATACAGGTCCAGATGTTCTATGATGATTTTGAGGTCGCCAACCCATTGGGTTCCAAGCGAGGTATTCATAAATTGGGTGGAGTATATTTTACTTTAAGAAACTTCTCTCCAAAATGGAATTCTTTTTTGGCTAACATACACCTGTGCGCCTTATTTCATACTCAAGATGTTAAACGATATGGTTTTAGTGAAATTTTTGCTCCCATTGTTCGAGACATTAAAGTGTTAGAGAGCGATGGTATTGAGATTCCATTATACAGTGGTTATGTACGTGGCACTGTAGTACAGGTAACAGGTGATAATTTGGGTTTGCATAGTTTGTTTGGTCTGGTGGAGTCTTTCAGTGCAAGGTACTGTTGCAGGTTCTGTTTAGCAGAAAAGGAGGACTTTCAAACAGAATTCTCTGAAGATTTCTTCCAAAATAGTTTTTACGCACCAAAGATATGCATACTGCTCACTGTCAAGAAATGGCTTGTAATCCATCCCTTCCGTATGTTTTTGGTGTGAAAAGGTCATGCATATTAAATTCATTGAGGTATTTTCACACAACTGAGAACTTCTCAGTTGATGTGATGCATGATGTGTTAGAAGGGGTTGGCCAGTACGATTGAAGTTATTATTTCTGTATTTGAATGAAAAACATGTTACATCAGGAGAAATACATTCAAGAATACAAAGTTTTGATTATGGTTTCACAGAGAGAAATAACAGGCTGTGACGGTTAATTTAAGTGAAGGATCTAATGATCTGGGACTGAATGCAATTCAGTCCTGGTGCTTACTTAGGAATGTTCCTCTTATCTTTGGAGATTTGGGTAACTTCTACTGACCAACACTGGGGCCTGCTTCTTTTATTATTGCAAATAATTAACATTATATTCTCGCCCATGTTATCTCAAGGTCTATGTGTATATTTAAAACATTTGATTGTTGATCACCATACACTGTTTAAGAAGTTGTATCCTCAGAATTTTTTTTTACCAAAGCACCATTTTCTTATCCACTATCCCCGCTGCATCCAGAAAATAGGGCCTGTACTTCATAGTTGGTGTATGAGGTATGAAGGCAAACATAATTTTTTCAAAAAACAGCTTAAATCGTTTAAAAATATTACCAAAACGCTGGCAAAAAAGCATCAGAATCATATGGCATATAGTTGGCGAAGATCAACAACTTTTAGTCGGTTAGATATGGTCCAGGAAAAATGGTGGCTTTAAATATGGTAAAAGGAGGTTCTGAAATTGCTTTGGCAATGCAAGTGCCCAGTAGCATTCAGGTTATGAAGGTTAATTGGGCTAAACATAATGGGTATGTTTATCGCCCACACTTGGTTATCTGTGGCGAAGTTGACTCTGAAGTGCCCTTGTTTTATCAGATTGAGTCAGTTCTGATAATGTGTGAAAAAACTGTTACTACTACTCACAGTGCCTTTAGTTACAGTAACTTTTCAAGAACATTTCCATGCATATGAGGTGATCAGATCAAAGCATGATTTAGTTTTTTTTCATGTCGACAACCTGCACTACCCTAGACCTTTTGACATACAAAGGTCATATGGAGGAAATGACACAGCTCTCCTTGTTGTGCCATATTGCTTTCTCTGGTGAACATTTTTATGATGTTATACTTCTGTCATAGACAAGGCAATGGGTGTACAATGTAATTCACGGACATTGAAATTATACTTTTTTTTTTTCAATAAATGTGGGTGCTCTCATCTTGTATTATTGTGCTTTGTTTTATTTGATAGTATTGATATTTCTATAATTCAGTAACACTACATCATATGATTTAAATTTAAAAAAAAAAAACACTGTAGAGAAATGAAAAGTAAATATCATTACACTTTAAAGTGTCATTTTTTGAAGTAAAATTGTAGTTGTCTTAACTCTATACAGTGTAATCATATTACTCTCAACAGTGTGATTAAACTACAGTGTTAAATATTTTGACACATTTCATTGTTATTTTTTACACAATATGGAGTAGAATTAACTCTAAAAGTTTTACACTGACCAAAGAGTACATTTTACACTGATTTTGAGTGGGACCAAATGTTATCTGAAACAGAGTTAAATTCAACTCGATAGGAGTTAAATTAACACTTCTGTTTTTACTGTGTAGGTAGAGTGACTATGCATAGATAATAAACAGTGAGTAGCAGCAGCGTTAAGGAAGGGGGGGGGAATGCAAATAGTCCGGGTAGCCATTTCATTAGCTGTTCAGGAGTCTTATGGCTTGGGGGTAGAAGCTGTTAAGAAGCCTTTGGACCTAGACTTGGTGCTCCGGTACCGCTTGCCGTGCAGTAGCAGAGAGAACAGTCTATGTCTAGGGTGGCTGGAGTCTTTGACAATTTTTAGGGCCTTCCTCTGACACCGCCTGGTATAGAGGTCCTGGATGGCTGTAATCTCTGCCAAAGGTGCTTCTACAAAGTATTGAATCGGTGTGAATACTTATGTAAATGAGGTATTTCTATATTTCATTTTCAATAAATTAGCAAAAATGTCTAAAACATGTTTTCACTTTGTCATTATGGGGTATTGTGTGTAAATGGGTAACACAACAAAATGTGGAATAAGTCGAAGGGTATGACTACTTTCTGAAGGCACGGTATATGGTCAGTTTAACAGTGGTAAGAGAGCACATAGGGAGAACTGATGGTGCTGAGAAAGAACACTGGTTTGGCGCAAACACTGACCCTCTCCTCATCACCATGGAAATAGAATTAGAATTGGACATGGGTTCTATTTCTATGCTCATTACAGTACGATCAACCTGTCAGGTGAAAACAAAGAGTTCAGAGGCTAGAGCAGGGATCATCAACTAGATTCAGCCACGGGATGAATTCTTCTTGAGCGGATGGTCAGGGGGCTGGAACATAATTACAAATATGAGAAATACTAAAGGCTGATCCGAGAGGACCATGTACACCGAACAAAAATATAAACGCAACATGTAAAGTGTTGGTCCCATGTTTCATGAGCTGAAATAAAGATCCCAGATATTTTCCATATGCACAAAAAGCTTATTTCTCTAAAATGTTGTGCACAAATTTGTTTACATCCCTGTTAGTGAGCATGTCTCCTTTGCCAAGATAACCCATCCACCTGACAGGTATGGCATATCAAGAAGCTGATTAAACAGCATGATCATTACACAGGTGCACTTGGTGCTGGGGAAAATAAAAGGCCACTCTAAAATGTGTAGTTTTGTCCCAGAACACAATGCCACAGATGTCTCAAGTTTTGAGAGAGCGTGCAATTAGCATGCTGACTGCAGGAATGTCCACCAGAGCTGTTGCCAGAGAATGTAATGTTAATTTCTCTACCATAAGCCGCCTCCAACGTCGTTTTAGAGAATGTGGCAGTACGCCCAACCAGCCTCACAAACGCAGACCACGTGTATGACATCGTGTGGGTGAGCGGTTTGCTGATGTCAATGTGGGTGCCCCATGGTGGCAGTAGGGTTATGGTATGGGCAGGCATAAGCTACAGACAATGAACACAATTAAATTTTATCGATGGCAATTTGAATACACAGCGATACCGTGATGAGATCCTGAGCCCCATTGTCATGCCATTTATCTGCCGCCATCACCTCATGTTTCATGTTCCATGTCGCAAGAATCTGTACACAATTCCTGGAAGCTGAAAATGTCCCTGTTCTTCCATGGCCTGAATACTCACCAGACATGTCACCCATTGAGCATGTTTGGGATGCTCTGGATCGACGTGTACAACAGCGTGTTCCAGTTCCCGCCAATATCCAGCAACTTCGCACAGCCATTGAAGAGGAGTGGGACAACATTCCACAGGCCACAATCAACAGCCTGATCAACTTTATGTGAAGGAGATGAGTCGTGCTGCATGATACAAATACCGACTGGTTTTCTGATCGAATGATCGACGCCCCTACTTTTGATTTTAAGGTATCTGTATTCCCAGTCATGTGAAATCCATAGAATACACATAATGACACACAAATAATGCAAGAAAATCAAGTTTCCCTGCAAGACAAGGATTTTCCCGACTTTCAAGAATCCCTGAGCTAATTTCTAAACATTTTGCCATGAGGCTGAGAGAAAATGTTGCAGTTTTACAGCTAATTTCCTGTAATATCATGGTTTATGACGTGTTCATGTGCTATATGGTGGCTAAATGTCGCCATCGTGTGTGGAATAGGCAGACATACAAGAAATGAGAGAAAAGTGGCGATATTTATTTATTTATTTGTATTAGGGAACGAAACAATCAAATGGATTTTGGAGAGCTGTCAATCAAAATACGTTTGGCGAGGAGAGCTGATTATGACCTAAACTGCGTCCCCCATTCTATTTCTATGGTTCCATAGACGCAACAATGTAAACGCTCTGTAAATTCCAGTGTTTTCAACACAGTGGCTCATTAGCAAAGTTACACTTTCTGCTGCTACATCTTAGTTTAAAGACTGCAAAAATTACTGTATGAATTGGCCTACAAGACTCCGGTAAGTAGAAGGCAATATTTGATCCAAAAAGCCCGGTTTTAGTCGGGGTTTTTCGACGCATCATCTTGTAATGCTATGCTGATTTAAACTCACAAAATGCGAGAAAAGTTTCCACGATGAATCAATTAATCAGAAGAGGAATTTGTACAAATTAGCTGTAGGACCCACTATTTTCCACTGTTGTCCAGTTTTGTGCTCTAAGTAAGATGAAGTTGTCCATGACAACACTGACCTAAGGTGGGGTTTGCTTAGGCTTGGCATTTGAAATCAATCAATCTCTTTATTTTTCTCTCAGTCATGTCTAGAAGAAGTGCGAGACTTCTTAATGTAGGGTACTATGACCAGTCCTCAGATGATGAAATCTCTGGCTCCATGGTCTCCTACAAGGAGAGCCCTGTGCCTAGGTAGGTAGGTGTGTGTGTGTGTGTGTGAGTGAGAGAGTATCGCTGTGTGTGCGGTGATGTTTATTGCACTTACGGTGGTATTAGCACAGTGTTAACTGTGTGTGTGTCAAATCAAAATGTATCTGTGTGTGTCTGTCTCAGGCTATTCAACAAGAGGAAACCGAGAACAGGGGGCCATAAGGGAATCCAAAAGCCAAATCAGCCAATCAACGGTGATGAATTAATTGGTACTGCTGACATCACTTCCTGCCTGCGCAGGGGTTGTCCAGATTGATAACCCCTATCTAGCCCCTTGTCCCTAGGACATGGTTGTTCTGTCTTGCCAACTCCATGACAATGATCATAGGAGTTTGTGACAACACAGGATACGTCCTAGGCCCGGGTTAGACACTTTTGTAGATTGGAAATCATATGCAATGTATTACTAAAGTCTTTCCTTCCCCTCTCCCCCCACCCCTCTTTCCTCTCTCTCTCCCCCCACCACCTCTTTCACCTCTCTTTCCCTCTCTTTCTCCCTCCTTCACCCACCCCTCTTTCGTCTCTCTGTCTCCCTGCTCCCCCAACCCTCTCGTTCCTCTCTCCCTCCTCCCCCACCCTCTCTTTCTCTCTCTCCCTCCTCCCCAACCCTCTCTTTCTCCTCTCTCCCCCTCCCCCACCCCTCTCTTCCCTCCTCCCCCCACCCTCTTTTTCTGCTCTCTCCCCCACATCCTCCCACCCCTCTCTTTCTCTCCCCCCCCCCTCCCCCCCCTATTCCTTCCCTCCCCCTCTGTCAGTCATGGCGCCAACTGTGGAGGGCCGTCCAGAGAAGCAGACCTTCCTGTCTCCTACTGTGGCACCCAGTGTGGCCCCTGTTTCCTTTGGCCCCCGCCGCCTCTGTGGCCCTGCAGCCCAGCATGAGCTCCTCCAGCAATTGGAATTCACCAGAATTGACAGCTCTGGCTACTGCTCTGATTCTGAGGAGCCACTGAGGGTCAAGACACGCTCCAACAGGAAGACTATCCAGCGGGATAGGCACTAGGACCAGGGCCATCGCTAGCTGCAGTGAGTTCAGTGTGTCTGTCCTGTGAGAGACAACACTAGCTTGGCATTTGCATGTCTTTATATGCTTGTAAAAAATAAGAAGATAAAAAAAGCTGGTTAGTTAGCATTAGCTTAGCATCAGTGTGTCTCAATTCAATTTTCAATTTAAGGGCCTTTTTTAATTTATGCGTGTCCTCTCTGCTTGAAATTTGTCAGCATTAGTTTAGCATTAGCTCGTCGCTTTGCTTTTGCCTTGTTTGTTAGCATTAGCATTATCTTTGGCTCTGTGTGTCTCCCTGTAGGCCGTTCATGTTTCCCGACTGGTTTGCCATCCTGGTTTGTCATCTTCCTCTTCCTCCTGCCCGTTCTCCTGACCTTCCGTGAGTGTGACGTAACGTTCATGTTCACACATCTAAATATCCTCCTATAAATCTGTCCTCTGTGTGACCCGAACCACAATGTCTTCCCTGCAGTATTTGTCTTTCCGACCGTGTTCCCCACCATGAACCTCAACCTTCCAATGAACCGGCCGACTCAACCTGACTCTCCGCCCGACCTGACATCAAAGGCTACAGTAGGACCTCTGTTTTTTCATCTGTCCTTCTGGTGACGTCTCACATGGCACACTATACCCTATATAGTGGCCCACTTATGTGGGCTCTGGTCAAAGGTAGTGCGCTACATAGGGAATAGAGTGCCATTTGGGGCAGACTGTGTTATCTATGTCTTGATTGGGTGAATGCTGCAATGAAGCTATGCATGGGCACACTCTGGTTGACTAGTTAAAACTCTTTCTACAGTATGGAACTTCTATCATGGATTCAGCTCTTGAAGACAAAATGGACAACATCCAGGTACAAAATAGAGAGAGGGGGGTGGAGAGAGAATGCACAAAATGTTTGGCCATATTAATTTATCTGTCCATGTGCTTGTCTTGCAGAGAGAGATTGAAATTCTTAAACAGAAAGCACACCAGCACCGAGGCATTTCCCAGGTGAGAATAGTCAATCTATCCCTTTGTAGTGGAAGTACCTGGGATTATTTTCTATTTGTTGCTGTAGTATTGCCAGTTTGTCAATTGAGATGTGGTGTCAATAATTGCCCTTCTGGAATTAATAAAGTTTATTCAATTGAATTGTGTTTGTGTCCACCAACAGATGGTACAAAGACTCAATATCGACATGAGGGGAGTAAGGAGCGAGATGAACAACGTCAGAGGGAAAGGGAACAGGTGAGTGTGGACCAGTCCTGAAACTACCCATATAGTCCCTAGCTCCTACCCCATAAAAAAACAAGACAAAAGTTATGTTGTATTCTATTCTAGAAGACAAATATCTGTTTCTCCCAAAATAGAAAATACATTTGTTTTGTGTTGTTTCATTCTATTTTATTGTAGTGTCTCTATTGCTGTCTCTACTGCTGGAGAGCGTCTGGCCCAGGACGCTGCCGAGTTCGGCAGCAAGATGGCTGATCTCCAAGAGGAACAGTCCATTACCACACAGAGGGTCAGAGCCCTGGAGGACACCAGTGATACGGTAACACACACGTACACGCAGGCACACGTGCACACACACACACACATACACACACACACTTCTCCTAATATGCGTGATCTCTGTGTGTTCTCTAGCTGCAGCAACAGGTGACCACCATTCAAAACCAGCCTCCCCCTGCTCCCACACCAGAAAACATACACCTGACACCTGATTTTAAAGAGGCCATGGAGAAATGGCTGCGTGACCAACTGGCCCAGGTGGGTTTATTTATTTTCTTGTAAAATAAACAGAAGATGTGATGCGTTTTTAAAGTTGACCGTGCATGTGTGATTGTGTGTCTGTCTGTGTCTCACAGGATGAGAGATGGGACATGAAACGGGTGATAAAGGATTGCAGTCGTCCGTTAGCGGACCGACTGCCTGACTTTGCCTTGGAGTCTCAAGGTTTGTGACATCACTGTACTTCAGCATGTTTTCCGTATGTGCCACAGAAAATAGTCCCAGCACGTGTGGATGCTTTATAGACTACAGTATCGTGTGTGTGTGTGTGTAGGTGGCAGTATTGTAACCAGCAGATGCTCTGAGACGTATCACACCCGTTCGGCCTGCGTGAGCTTCCTGGGGATTCCCCTGTGGTATCCTGAAGAGACCCCCCGGACTGTCATCCAGGTTGGTACCTCTCTCTCCCTTTGTGTCATCCTATATCTCTCTTTCTGAAGTGTGTCGTCTTGACCACCATGTTTAAATGCAGGTTAACCATTCTCCTACAATTTCCGTGGCCTGCGGAAATCTAATTAACATAATACAAAAATTCCCATCTAAATCCATCTGTTTAAGCTAGAGATATTTGTTTCTTTGTATGGGCTGCGTCTCAATCCACCACATCCACCGATATCGCCCTTCCGCATCTGCGGTGAAAGGTGGCAAATTATTATGAGACTCTCACAAACACGATGATGTTCTGTTTTTTTATATTTTTATACACTAAATTTTTTACATTTTAGTCATTTAGCAAACGCTCTTATCCAGAGCGACTTACAGTTAGTGAGTGCATACATACATTTTGTAATTTTTCATACTGGCTCCCCGTGGGAATTGAACCCACAACCAAGGCATTGCAAACGCCATGCTCTACCAACTGAGCTACATCCCTGCCAGCCATTCCCTCCCCTACCCTGGACGACACTGGGCCAATTGTGCGCCGCCCCATGGGTCTCCCGGTCGCGGCTGGCTACGACAGAGCCTGGATTCGAACCACGCGATGCAGTGCCTTAGACCACTGCACCCCTTCAAATGAGTGGATTCTGTTATTTCAGCCACACCCATTGCTGACAGGTGTATAAAATCGAGCACACAGCCATGCAATCTCCATAGACAAACATTGGCAGTAGAATGGCCTTACTGAAAAGCTCAGTGACTTTCAACGTGGCACCGTCATAGGATGGTCCTCTGTAGCTCAGCTGGTAGAGCACGGCGCTTGTAACGCCAAGGTAGTGGGTTCGATCCCCGGGACCACCCATACACTAAAATGTATGCACGCATGACTGTAAGTCGCTTTGGATAAAAGTGTCTGCTAAATGGCATATTATTATTATTATTATGCCACCTTTCCAACAAGTCAGTTTGTCAAAATTCTGCCCTGCTAGAGCTGCCCCAGTCAATTGTAAGTGCTGTTATTGTGAAGTGGAAACATCTAGGAGCAACAACGTCTCAACCGCGAAGTGGTAGGCCACACAAGCTCACAGAACGGGACCGTGTACTGAAGCGCGTACCGAGGTCCAAACTGCCTCTGGAAGAAACGTCAGCACAATAACTGTTTGTCGGGAGCTTCATGAAATGGGTTTCCATGGCCGAGTAGCCGCACACAAGCCTAAGATCACCATGCGCAATGCCAAGCGTTGGCTGTAGTGGTGTAAAACTTGCCGCCATTGGACTCTAGAGCAGTGGAGATGCGTTCTCTGGAGTGATGAATCACGTTTCACCATTTGGCAGTCCGACGGACTAATCTGGGTTTGGCGGGTGTCAGGAGAACACTACCTACCCCAATGCATAGTGCCAACTGTAAAGTTTGGTGGAGGAGGAATAATGGTCTGGGGCTGTTTTTTCGTGGTTCGGGCTAGGCCCCTTAATTCCAGTGACGGGAAATCTTAACGCTACAGCATACAATGACATTCTAGACGATTCTAGTGCTTCCAACTTTGTGGCAACAGTTTGTGCAAGGCCCTTTTCAGCATGACAATACCCCCGTGCACAAAGCGAGGTCCATACAGAAATGGTTTGTCAAGATCGGTGTGGAAGAACTTGACTGGCCTGCACAGAGCCCTGACCTCAAAATCAAATATCTAAATAATCCTTGGTATGACCATCTTAAAACAATTCCATATGTTGGCTTAGTAGAACCGACCCCCCCCCCTCCCCCCAACCTCACCGCTGGCTTAGACAGGCCTTAGACTCTAGATGTGTTTCCCAACCCAGGTCCTCCCAACAATAACAACAAATGTATTGTAACCATGGACAAGCACACCTGATTCAACTTGTCAACTAATCATCAAGCCCTCAATGAGCTGAATCAGGTGTGCTTGTCCAGGGCTATAACGAAACAGTGTACTGTTGGGGGTACTGGAGGACCAGGGTTGGAAAACACTGCTCTAGAGGGTTAAAGACTGATCCAAATACACCTGTCACTCATCTTTCACCCCCTCAGGGCCAGCAGGTGCTGCCTGGCAAGTGTTGGCCGTTTCCTGGGGCCCAGGGCACTATGACCATCGCCCTGTCTCACCCCATCCACGTGACCCATGTCTCTCTGGAGCACCTCTCCACCGCCGTCTCCCCTAACGGACGCATCGACAGTGCCCCCAAGGACTTCGCCGTCTACGTGAGTCACCTCTGAGGGCCTGTATTCACAAAGTCTCTGAGTGTGGGGGGGGGGGGGACCCTTTCCTTCCCTGTTCAGCACTCCAACTCTGAGGCTCTTTCCTTTCTTGTACCACATAGAATCTACAGTGGGATGATTTGTACAGGGATGTTTTAGTGCTATGTAGAATACCTTTTAATTGACTCCCTCACTTTTTCCCCACTCGCTTTCTGTGTAGGGCATGTCTACTGTCAGCGAAGAGGGAACACTGCTCGGAATGTTTACATATGACCAGGCTGGAGATCCCCTCCAGACATTCAAATTGCCTGTGAGTCCAATGCTGACAAACTATTAGAGATACATAGTAAAGATACAGGCTAATGAGACAGGTAGTGATACATAGTAAAGATACAGGCTAATGAGACAGGTAGAAATACCTTTTGGGGCCTAATGTGTATGCATTAAGACTTATCTCAAAAGTCAATAAGCTTGGACCTCTCTCACCCTCTTCTCACTCTGACTTTTTTTTTCTCAGAACCCTACTGCAGTGTATCGGTATGTGGAGCTCCATGTCCTCAGCAACTGGGGTCACCAGGACTACACCTGTGTGTACCGCTTCCCGGGTTCACGGCAAGATGGCTTCCTTTTGAAGGGGATCGTCTATCTATCTTAACCCCTGTGTGTGTGTGTGTGTGTGTGTGTGTGTGTGTGTGTGTGTGTGTGTGTGTGTGTGTGTGTGTGTGTGTGTGTGTGTGTGTGTGTGTCCACCCCAACCCCAGAATTTTCACTTTCATACTGGAGCATATATTTTGCCTCTAAATAAAATCTGTATTAGGCAGTGTTTGTATGGTTTTGGCACTAATTGGAACTGAGTGTAATGATGGTGGCCATATTGGATTCCCAATAGAGTTGAATTACACCAGAATAGTTGTAAATGTCATAAGTATAGTACGCCATTCTAAAAGATGTATCTTATTTGCAAAACTCATTTACAGGTGATTAAACCCCCCATCAAATGGTATTATGGCAGCCATATTGGATTTTGGACACTATATTGGATTTGGGGCAAAATCCAGGGTGGCCCCGAGGCTCAATAACTCTCCATGCCCTGAAATAAACTAAGGAGCCTTTGACTGGGGAAGAAAAACAGAACTTTTCAGTTTCTGAGTCTGGGCCCTTTGTTTTCCTTAGAGCCATAACACTAAACAACTTTTTGTCAGGAAGTACCATACAGTAGGGTTTCCCAAACTTGGGGGGGGGGGGCTGGTTGCATGTTTTGGTTTTTTCCCTAGCACTACACAGCTGATTCAAATAATCAACGCTTGATGATGAGTTGGTTATTTGAATCAGCTGTGTAGTGCTAGGGCAAAAACCAAAACGTGCACCCAGGGGGGGCCTCAGGACCACATTTTGGAAGTATTGAATGGGAGTAAATTTGACTTGGAACATTGTCTATTAACCAGCTACCAAAAAGTAATAATTAATATTCATAGTTCATATTTCTGCCTATTGTTCATCTGTGTTGATATTTCCACAATGCATCAAGATATCCTCATGCTGTTTGTGTATGTAGGGCAGCCAGGCAATATTCTGCACTAACGCAGCTGACTGTAGACGAAAGTCAACGAGTGAAGTCGGGGGAGATGTGTCTGCGACAGCTGAAAGTCAGACAGTGTTGTGGTCATAGAGAATGATAGAGGCCTCTAGTGGCCAAAAGGCATATTACCATGGGCAGAGCCATTGAGGGCTTCCACCATTTTAATGTAGTCAACTGGGTGGGACTTCCAACTTGTAACTTGTTGGAGTCATCAGGGGAGGATCAGCCAATAGTGAAGAAGAAAATGGACTACTTCAAAATGGAGATTCCCTCAATGGCTCTGCCCATACTGTCACAGGTGCTATGATGGCACAGATACAAAGATGAGTCTCCTATCTATCTCTATGGTTCTGGTTTACCTACAGCAAGGCTCCGTGCAACATGGCAGTGTTGCGATTGTTTATAGAAGTTTTTCTTTGTAATGTCAAAATAAACATGTCTCCAACCCCCATATCACACACTCAAAAATTGTAAATATACAGTGGGGAAGAAAAGTATTTAGTCAGCCACCAATTGTGCAAGTTCTCCCACTTAAAAAGATGAGAGAGGCCTGTAATTTTCATCATAGGTACACGTCAACTATGACAGACAAATTGAGAAAAAAAATCCAGAAAATCCCATTGTAGGATTTTTAATGAATTTATTTGCAAATTATGGTGGAAAATAAGTATTTGGTCACCTACAAACAAGCAAGATTTCTGGCTCTCACAGACCTGTAACTTCTTCTTTAAGAGGCTCCTCTGTCCTCCACTCGTTACCTGTATTAATGGCACCTGTTTGAACTTGTTATCAGTATAAAAGACACCTGTCCACAACCTCAAACAGTCACACTCCAAACTTCACAATGGCCAAGACCAAAGAGCTGTCAAAGGACCAAAAACAAAATTGTAGACCTGCACCAGGCTGGGAAGACTGAATCTGCAATAGGTAAGCAGCTTGGTTTGAAGAAACCAACTGTGGGAGCAATTATTAGGAAATGGAAGACATACAAGACCACTGATAATCTCCCTCGATCTGGGGCTCCACGCAAGATCTCACCCCGTGGGGTCAAAATGATCACCAGAACGGTGAGCAAAAATCCCAGAACCACACGGGGGGACCTAGTGAATGACCTGCAGAGAGCTGGGACCAAAGTAACAAAGCCAACCATCAGTAACACACTACGCCGCCAGGGACTCAAATCCTGCAATGCGAGACGTGTCCCCCTGCTTAAGCCAGTACATGTCCAGGCCCGTCTGAAGTGCATTTGGATGATCCAGAAGAGGATTGGGAGAATGTCATATGGTCAGATGAAACCAAAATATAACTTTTTGGTAAAAACACAACTCGTCATGTTTGAGGACAAAGAATTCTGAGTTGCATCCAAAGAACACCATACCTACTGTGAAGCATGGTGTTGGAAACATCATGTTTTGGTGCTGTTTTTCTGCAAAGGGACCAGGACGACTGATCCGTGTAAAGGAAAGAATGAATGGGGCCATGTATCGTGAGATTTTGAGTGAAACCCTCCTTCCATCAGCAAGGGCATTGAAGATGAAACGTGGCTGGTTCTTTCAGCATGACAATGATCCCAAACACACCGCCCGGGCAACGGAGTGGCTTCGTAAGAAGCATTTCAAGGTCCTGGAGTGGCCTAGCCAGTCTCCAGATCTCAACCCCATAGAAAATCTTTGGAGGGAGTTGAATGTCTGTGTTGCCCAGCGACAGCCCCAAAACATCACTGCTCTAGAGGAGATCTGCATGGAGGAATGGGCCAAAATACCAGCAACAGTGTGTGAAAACCTTGTGAAGACTTACAGAAAACGTTTGACCTGTGTCATTGCCAACAAAGGGTATATAACAAAGTATTGAGAAACTTTTGTTATTGACCAAATACTTATTTTCCACCATCATATGCCAATAAATTCATTAAAAATCCTACAATGTGATTTTCTGGATTTTTTTTTCTCATTTTGTTTGTCATAGTTGACGTGTACCTATGATGAAAATTACAGGCCTCTCTCATCTTTTTAAGTGGGAGAACTTGCACAATTGGTGGCTGACTAAATACATTACATTTACATTTACATTTTAGTCATTTAGCAGACGCTCTTATCCAGAGCGACTTACAGGAGCAATTAGGGTTAAGTGCCTTGCTCAAGGGCACATTTACGTCATTTAGCAGACGCTCTTATCCAGAGCGACTCACCAATTGGTGCGTTCACCCTATAGCCAGTGGGATAATCACTTTACAATTTTTTTTTTGGCGGGGGGGGGGGGGGGGGTAGAAGGATTACTTTATCCTATCCCAGGTATTCCTTAAAGAGGTGGGGTTTCAAATGTCTCCGGAAGGTGGTGAGTGACTCCGCTGTCCTGGCGTCGTGAGGGAGCTTGTTCCACCATTGGGGTGCCAGAGCAGCGAACAGTTTTGACTGGGCTGAGCGGGAACTATGCTTCCGCAGAGGAAGGGGAGCCAGCAGGCCAGAGGTGGATGAACGCAATGCCCTCGTTTGGGTGTAGGGACTGATCAGAGCCCGAAGGTACAGAGGTGCCGTTCCCCTCACTGCTCCATAGGCAAGCACCATGGTCTTGTAGCGGATGCGAGCTTCAACTGGAAGCCAGTGGAGTGTGCGGAGGAGGGGGGTGACGTGAGAGAACTTGGGAAGGTTGAACACCAGACGGGCTGCGGCATTCTGGATGAGTTGTAGGGGTTTAATGGCACAGGCAGGGAGGCCAGCCAACAGCGAGTTGCAGTAGTCCAGACGGGAGATGACAAGTGCCTGGATTAGGACCTGTGCCGCTTCCTGTGTAAGGCAGGGTCGTACTCTCCGAATGTTGTAGAGCATGAACCTGCAGGAGCGGGTCACCGCCTTGATGTTGGCGGAGAACGACAGGGTGTTGTCCAGGGTCACGCCTAGGCTCTTCGCACTCTGGGAGGAGGACACAGCGGAGTTGTCAACCGTGATGGCGAGATCATGGAACGGGCAGTCCTTCCCCGGGAGGAAGAACAGCTCCGTCTTGCCAGGGTTCAGCTTGAGGTGGTGATCCGTCATCCATACTGATATGTCTGCCAGACATGCAGAGATGCGATTCGCCACCTGGTTATCAGAAGGGGGAAAGGAGAAGATTAGTTGTGTATCGTCAGCGTAGCAATGATAGGAGAGGCCATGTGAGGATATGACAGAGCCAAGTGACTTGGTGTATAGGGAGAAAAGGAGAGGGCCTAGAACTGAGCCCTGGGGGACACCAGTGGTGAGAGCACGTGGTGCGGAGACAGCTTCTCGCCACGCCACTTGGTAGGAGCGACCGGTCAGGTAGGACGCAATCCAGGAGTGAGCCGTGCCGGAGATGCCCAGCTCGGAGAGGGTGGAGAGGAGGATCTGATGGTTCACAGTATCAAAGGCAGCAGACAGGTCTAGAAGGACAAGAGCAGAGGAGAGAGAGTTAGCTTTAGCAGTGCGGAGAGCCTCCGTGACACAGAGAAGAGCAGTCTCAGTTGAATGACCATTCCTGAAACCTGACTGGTTTGGATAAAGAAGGTCATTCTGAGAGAGATAGCAAGAGAGTTGGCTAAAGACGGCACGCTCAATAGTTTTGGAAAGAAAAGAAAGAAGGGATACTGGTCTGTAGTTGTTGACATCAGTGGGATCGAGTGTTGGTTTTTTTGAGAAGGGGAGCAACTCTCGCTCTCTTGAAGACGGAAGGGACATGGCCAGCGGTCAAGGATGAGTTGATCAGCGAGGTGAGGTAGGGGAGAAGGTCACCGGAGATGGTCTGGAGAAGAGAGGAGGGGATGGGGTCAAGCGGGCAGGTTGTTGGGCGGCCTGCAGTCACGAGTCGCAGGATTTTATCTGGAGAGAGAGGGGAGAAAGAAGTCAAAGCATAGGGTAGGGCAGTGTGAGTAGGACCAGCAGTGTCATTAGACTTAACAAACGAGGATCGAATGTCGTCAACCTTCTTTTCAAAGTGGTTGACAAAGTCATCCACAGAGAGAGAGGAGGGGGGTGGGGGGGGGGGGGGATTCAGGAGGGAGGAAAATGTGGCAAAGAGCTTCCTAGGGTTAGAGGCAGATGCTTGGA